TCCACATTCCAGGCTCCCCGAGCTTTATGAGCTTGAGTGACAGACTCCAGAAGACGGGAAGCTGCTCCAGAACGGGCTCCGTGTTATCTGATTCACTTTTGGACAAGCTCGGGCAGCTTAGTCAGCCCTTCTGACAATCGGGTTGCCTGAGGAGAACCGGCTGCCGGCGGTGGGCATGAGTCACACTCAGCGCCTGGCCACTCCCCGCCCCCGCCACCGTCCCAGGGGGCCGCCTGGAGCCTCCCTCCTCACCCAGGGATCTCGGGGCAGATTCACCACACACTGGGCCAGATTCAGGCTGGAGAAGACAGGCCACAGGCCCCTCACCCCACTTCCTGGAGTGACCCCAGTTCTGAACGTCACTGAGATCAGTGGTGTCAGCTCTTCTGGCCCCGGCAGCCAGCTCAGCAGTAAAGGGACCCTCTGAAAACAAAGCAGCCCCGAGCCCAGAGGTCTCCCTCTCCAGCCACTTCAAACAGGCCTGAAGGTGGCATCTGGCCCGAAGGTGGCCAGGGACGGGTGCAGGCCCGGGGGTGCCAAGGGAAGAAAACCACCTCACAAGCCTCCACAAGGCGGCTTCCAGATATTTCCCTGGCTGCTGGCATCACAGCAAAGCGCCCACAGGAATCCCCACCAGTGCTTTGATGTCCCCAAGACCACAGAGCTACTGCAGCCCCGGCAGAGCCACAGGCCCATCCAACTCCAGGCACCCCTTGGGATCAGATGAGCACTGGCCACGGAGTCTAGGGGGAAGAGGAGGGTTCTGCAACCAGCCTGCTACAGGATCATCTCCTCATCTGAAATGAGAGAGAAGCTCACAGCGTGAGCCCCTGGTGCCTCCCCCGCACCAGCATTCCACAGAGCAGAGGGCCCTGAAGTTCATGCTCGGGCATGTTGTCAAGCATCTACTACCTGAGAAGCGACCAAGACAGGTGTGTGCCCACACTCCAGCAGCGGACATAAACTTAAATCTACAAATAAGTAAGACAACAGTCAATTATGTAAAGAGAGGAGGAGGGAAAAATGATCAGCACAATGTGATCATCTCTCGGTTTTGTGTCCCCAGAGTGATCGGGGGGAGGGGGGATTGGCACATGGGGAGCTACCTTCAGTAGGGGGTCAGGGAAGGGCTAAGGCAGAATTTAATCCAAGACCTGAAGGATGGGAAGGTCAGCTATGGAGGAGCTGGAGGGAGACATCCCAGGGGAGGGGATGACCAAGACCCTCAGGAGAACAGCCCTGGTTTGTGGCAGGCAATAGAGGAGGCAGATGGCTAAGCAGAGTGAGTGAGGGGCAGAGGGAGGAGATGAGGTTGGGGAGGGAGGGAGGGAGGGGGCACCCTATCAGGCTGGACTTCAAGGCCCTGGCAAGCAGTTAAGATCTCTTTGTAAGAACAGTGGGAAATGGGTAAAGGGTTTTATATAGGGTAGACAGGACATGATCTGAAAGTTGCAGTCATTGAGGGGGGCATATGCTTTTCTCCAGCGTGTTTCCTAATCAACACAGCTGGAAAAACAGCTGGAACAAAAGGAATTTTCCCCTCTTACCTTCTTCAGACAACCCCAGTATTTCTGCCCTGTACTCTGGCCTAAAGAAACCAAATCGCTCTCTTTTTACCTCTCGCTCTCTCTCTCTTTCTCCCCCTTTCTCCCTCTGTGAACCATTCAGGGAAAAACTGCGTGGACAAAATGTTGCCTTTGGATAAAAATTTTAAATGCTCTGCAAACAGGGCCGGTGTCATGTTGAACACATTTGGAAACAGTTTGTCTCTGAAGCTGCACTAGTTTGCCCTCAAAGCTGCTTTCTATTAAAACGTTCGCATGCACACTGTCTGTCCTTGCTTCCTGCAGCTGGCATTCCCTCTCCAGGCGAGTGCGGGCCCCAGTAGCAGCCAAGGAAAGGGGAGTTGCAAATCCTAGGACAGAAGCACAGAAAGGGATGCCTGGCCACCATTGGAGGGGATGATCCCACCTCCTCCTCCAGCTTGGTGGGGGGCAGCAGACCAGGCAGAGACAGCTGCTCTGCTGTGTGCTTTCTTCCGAAAGTTCTCCCTGACTCAAAACTCAACAGGAAAGTGAGTGCACATGTGTCTGCTCAGCAGTGAGAAGCAAAAAAGACAAAAAAAGAGTTTTGGTTGCAAGACCAGAAACGTCTCTGGCAACTTCAAGCCAAGGAGGGGTTACTGGAGATGTGAGGGGAGCTCCAAGAAGGGAAGGAAAAGTAGACAAATTAGGCTCAGAAAGGGCAGGAACTCAGACAGGGGGGTCTCAGCAGCAGCGGCTACACCAGCTTCAGCCACGTAGCTTTTCTGGGGGTGACATCCAGTTACAGCTCCAGAGGGAGGATCTCCTTGGTCTAATGGGTCGTGTCCACCCCTTGGCCCCAGGGAGTGGGGCGCCATGACTGGTGGTCCCATCAAGACTGTCCAGTGGGGGAGAGGTAGACCTGAAGGAAATGTTGGCTGCTGCTCCCAGAAGAAGGGTGGCTGCATGACAAGTGCACAGCGACGACCGATGTCGTCATTAAAGTCATGGTAATTTTCATTCATTAGAAGTGGCTCAAATACCACGCTCAGGAAGGAGAGCAGCTGCTGAAGTCACGGAGAACCCTTCAAGCCAAATCATGACGCTGCGGGGAGGAAATGGGCCCAGATTATGAGCCACCAAGTTAGCCTTTGGGCCTGTGTGGGTGGCGGGCGGTCACACCAGTTTCACTGGGTTATGCGACAATGGCCCTGGGGAGACTGGGCCATGGCCTCACATGACAAGCACCGTTTGGAAGAGTTTTCGATCCTCAAGCTCAATTTTTGTTGGTCTTATTCTGCCTCCTCTGAGTTTTCCTGCTATTGCTTTTTTGTTGTTTCTGAGAGCGACACAATGCGAGGCCAGCTCACACCCCACCACTGCCCGCACGTGTATTAAATCGTGTGCTGGGCTGAACTGCACTCGCCGGGGTCAGACGCTCCTTCCAAACCAAGCCTCATTACAAGCCAGTCTCGGCCCTGCTCCAAATCATCATCAAAGTGCAGGAATGAGAGGGAATGAGCGGGAAGTGACGCATTTACTCTCCCCACTTCCAACTACTATCAGCAAAAAAAGCAGTTTAGTCAGTGGAAACCAGTCTTTGTGTGGGTGTCTGCAATTTAATATCCCTTCATTTCCGATTCCGTTTTGAAAAGCCACATAAGTTCAACTTTGTATTTTCAAGCCCCTTTTTCTTGAGCTAGAAACATAGCTCAAATAGCATGCTGGGGCAGAAAGGCTGGGCTCCCCGGCGCAGGTCAGAAACTCTGCAAAGCTGGTCTGCTGAGATCTTTCACATCCTGCCTGGACATGCCAGGGGTGCCACCAGGACATACCCTCCACTTTGGCTCCAAATCTGAAAAGAATACCCCCGGGCCAAGAGCAGTTGCACGGTATGCGCCCATGAGTTCCAAACACAGAGTTATTCAGCAGGGGCAGCTCACGCAGTGTCCGGATCAGCGCCCCGCCTGCAGAGCCCCCACTGCTGGCCACCTTCCAAGGGCTCGGTGGAGCTGAGCAGTCCGCATGTGGCCACAGGATGTGCTATTCTGGCCGGCCTCCTTCCGGTGAGACTACCACATCCTGGACACCTTTCTAGCAGCATGTTCCTAAACGGGGATGCACCAGCCTTCCCGTGGGCTATTTAAAGTCGAGCCCTCCCTTCACACCAAAAGGTCAGGCTCCATCCTTGGGCACTTGGGGAGCAGCAGCCTGGCTGTCTTAGGAGCCTATAATTTCACCGCAGCGTAGCTGTGTGGCTTTGGGCAGGTTCCTTAAGCTCTCTGAGCCCTTGTTTCCTCCTCTATAAAATGGGGATAATATAGCTATCTTACAGATTAGGTGAAAGTTACAAATGAAGGCAGAACCTGGCCCAGCATTGGAGCTTATCAAACAGAAGTTATTATGATTATACTGTGAAATACACATTTGGAAATATTAGTTGTTGCTCAGAAATTCCACAGTAACCTAATAGAAAGAATATGCAATTTCGACCTCGCCAAACAGCAGTTACCTACACCGCACACAGAGCCCGTTTCTGCCCAGCTGAGCAGCACAGACATAAACAGCCGGTGCAACCACACTGTCTGACCTCAGAGCCCACATCCAGGTAAAGTCACGCAGGGAGCTGGAAGAGAAGATCCCTCCTGGCTCTCAGTCTACGATCTTTTCCCAGGCCAGCAACGAGATTCCAACCTACCCTGATTCTTCCTTCCATATGAAGCCTGGAAAATTACAAGGGTGTGAAGAAACCAGAAAATGCAATCTCAGTGCTCTTGCCACACAGCCAACCAAACCTCCGAAATCAAAGCACCAATGAGTAGGAATTTTTGATGGTCTAGTAAGAACTGGATTTATTTCAGGTATGAAAACTTTGCCAAAGAAATCAACAGAGCAAAAATGACTGCAAGGTGAATATTTAAATAGAAAGCAAACCATTTTCAAACATAATATTTCCCAAATTGAGCTCACTATGTCTCAGTTCTGCAAAAAAAAAAAAATTTCTGTACTCAGATCATTATAATTTGGCGTATACACCTGTTTGCAGGAGAGTCATGAGCACATTAGCATATTAAAAGCTCTGAGAAGTTTTGTAAGGAAGAATCCATTAGCTTTGTTTTAATTCAAGGTTTCCAAAACTTTTCGAGTGTGGAGTATTGTTTTAAAGCACATTTAGTAACCCTGCAATAAAACAATAACAATTTGGGAGACCTGGCTTGGTTTCAAACCTGGTGAATGCACAAATGAATAAAACTGTGTAACAACAGTTGACTCAGGGTCAGGAATGGAAAGGAGACTGAGTTTTCACTGTTTACCTACTAATTTCTTATAAACCTGTTGCTTTCCTTTATAAAAATGTAAAATACTATTTTTACAAGTCTCTGATCTTATAGCCTGCTTATTTAAAAATCTTCCATGAGCCCCACCCCCCACCCCAGGACACATTCAGCATCTCCTAAATGCTCAGACTTGACAGGTTCAGTCCAGCCTCAGCTCTCTCCCTGAGAATCTCTTGGAATCGGGGAGCTCTGGTGTCTTGTGACCTCTCCAGGTTTTGCCACATTTAGCCAGGGCCCCTGAGAACTCGGTTCTGCGGGTGGGGAACACACTTACCTCGTGGTCAATTTTGATAAGTGCAATGTCCGCCTTCTCATCCACATCCTTGGTTTTGGCTTCGTAGGTGGCGCCACTCTTCAGCTCCACTTTGACCCGGTGCTTGTTGGTCACCACGTGGGCATTTGTCACAATCAGTCCATCTTCGGACACTATAAACCCAGATCCACTGGCCACGGGCACCTCCCTCTTAGAAAAAGGAAGCCTAGAACAGAACCCAAAGGAGCACCTCGTTAAGCCTGAAACACTGTAAAATCAACTCTTCAACACATGGATGGATTGGTTCTGCAACAGCAACACACATCTTGCAATTATTACTTTACACACTGGGTTTATTTAACATTAAAAAATAGAACATCAGGCTGACTTTTACATGTATTAAAAAGTTCCACTTAGAAAATATTCTTAGGAAATCTCTTCAGAGCCAGAGGCTCTTAAAACATCTAGAGGGGTCAAGAATGCAAATTTAAATATTCAAACGGGAAAACATCCTTAGGAAGAAAGGATATCTTCCTGTAAGAATATATTCAGTGACACTTTGACACTTTCAAGTGTCTCAAAAATAGCTTGGATGCCTTGCTAACATCAGCATTTATTGGTGGAAGCTTCAGAGTTTCTAAGAAAAAAGAATGCCCTCTTTACTTGCGAAACAATTCAGTGTGAACCATGGCAGGCGCAATCTATTCCACCACATCGGTAATAAAGTTGTATTTGTGGCCCAAACTGTTGGAATCTTCTTGCCCTGAGAACAAAACCAAAGACAAGACATGTAATGATACTGTGCTTTGTGCTGTGGCCACCTGGAGAGGGACATAGGTGAGAAGGCGCCAAGGTACACACTGAGAGGTCTTTGGAAACCGGAAGAGGGGCGAGGACAAGACCACAGACCTGCAAAAAACCTTCCCACTCTCAAGGAAATACCCACTCAGATAAGAGAGCAAAAACCATCAAACATGACCCCTTTACTCAGCTTCTTTCCTCTCAATAGTTTCTCCGTGAAAATGTTGAGCCAGAGACACTCACAAATACCTGGATGTCCTACCAGCTATTCTAAAAAGTTAGTAGCCCAAGGGTCACCTTGACATGGCATCATCCTCCACCAGTGTCCCTTCCCCGAATCCCATGGCACCACAAAGAAGCAACCCTTCTCGGCAAACCACATCACTAAGGGGGGGCTGAGGTAGTTTTTGACGAGATGCCCATCAGACATTATATATTTAAAAGACTATTATGAAAAAGCATTAAGGCAAAGATGCAGATCCTCTTTCCCACTGATGCCACAAAGCCAGCAGAAGCCACTGTCTGTCCCCAGAGCAGTTTTCCTCTACACCTTATTCATTCATTCCAACCCGTGGGACATCCCAGGCAGAAAGGCACAAGAGGTACCTTGATACTCTTGGAAAAAAGAGAGAAGAAAGTCCAAGGTGACTGCTTGCCCAGGGAACTGAGCCATGACGATGGCCCCTGAGTCTGGAACACGCCTCGGGCCTGAGACCTCAGGAGAGACACGGAGGAGGTGTTCTTGTGCTCCCTCTAGGGATCGAACCAAGTTTGGCCGCGGCTGGTGAACGGAGGTGACCGGTGTCAGGGCCAGGTGGCGGTCCTTACCGAGGCTCGTGGGGCACCGTGTGTGACGACGCCTGGGGCACCAACGATGCCGACGTGGTGTGCAGGCAGCTGGGCTGTGGCCGGGCCACGTCGGCCCCAGGAAGTGCCCGCTTCGGTCAGGGCTCAGGGCCGATTCTCCTGGACAACGTGGGCTGCTCAGGACACGAGTCCGACCTGTGGAGCTGCAGCCACAACGGCTGGAACAGCCACAACTGTGGTCACCACGAGGATGCCGGTGTCGTCTGCTCAGGTGGGCCTCCGAGATCCCCGGACCCCCTCCCGGGCAGGGGGGATCTTTGCTGAGAACAGACACACACTTCCCGCCCGCCCGCGGCCCCCACCCGAGCCCCTCCCAGAGATCCTGTGCCTCCCAAGGTTGCCCGAGGGCAGCTGGCCCCGAAAGCAAAAGCACAAGATGGGGGGGACCCCTCTTCGGCCAACAGTGAGGAAGCAGAACTGCTTTGGAGCTGTGACGGCACAGTGGGCCGCAGAGAGTGCCCACCGTTCTGCGGCCAGACAGAAGGGGCCTCCTCCTTCTCAGCAGGGTCGAGGGCTCAGTCCACACCCGCGTTTCCTCTGGGGCTTCCTTCTCGGTGCACCACTTCTGGGGTTGCCGTTGGAAAATGGGCCACCCTCACCCCTCGACGGGTGCCTTCGTTTGGGTCTTCCCAGAAGCCAACTCAAGAGAACAGGATTCCAGGCTCCGGTGTGAACTGGGGAGGGCGAGAAGAGCAGTGGAGAAGGGGGCCGGGCTGTGGGCAGTGGGGGGTCGCTGAAGCCCGGAATGCTGATGAGCCACTGAGGACACTGGGGCTGGAGCTCCATCCCGAGCCGAGTCTCCGGGAAGCCTCCATTAATCTCAGAATCCCTGCTCCTGGGCTGGGATTGTTTGGAGGGTAAATTTCACACCTCCCTGAGACAGGAAAAACATCATTTCCTCCAGGCACAGTTTGAGTATGTGTCAATTTGGTAAATTACTATTGAGGCTTGTCTTTTTCACATTCTATGCTTTTGGTTCAATACACAGCAGCCCCTTGGCAGCAAAGACGGGGGAGAAGATTACTCTGATCCTCTTTTTCCAAACAGTAACAAGGTGATTTCTGAATTCATGTCAAATATTTGAAATTAATGCAAATGAGTGAGTGATTTAGTTCTTCTTTGTCGAGAATTGTTTTTGTCAATTCTGGCATATATATGTACATGAGATAATGCAATTTTCTGGGGGAGGGTGATGTGCCTGTGGGGGTAGCTATGTGCCACTACTCCTGGAGCACAGGGACTCATTAGCTACACCTGGCCCTCCACCACCGGATGCCCATTAGAGTAACCTAGAGCTTCAAGCACAGCCGTGCCTGGGCCCACCTGCACGTTCTCTCTGTCTGGCCTGCGGTGGGGCTTGGGTATCTGTATTGTAAAAATTTCCTGAGGTGTCTCTGAAGTGCAGTGGGGTTAGAGAACTCTGGCTACAGAGACTGCCCTGACTGGTGCGGTTTTATGGGAGATGCAATTACTGCCCGTCAGACCCTGAGTTCCCCTGGCCTCACTTACAACTGTCCCACCTCCCAATGGGTCTCTGGCTCCTTTCTCTCACACCTTTGCTGCTAAAGTGACTATTGGGGGAAAAAGAACTTGGTATTTGAATGTGAGTTGAGAATGGAGGAAGGAAACTCTTGAAGGCAGAAGTTGTAGGATCCCAAAAAGGGAACCCCAACTCCAGTCTCGGGAAGGCGCGGACCCACAGACACAGAAGACCGAGCTTGATGCAAATGCAAGAGGTTTTATTAAGCGGAGCTCCGGGTCGACACGTGTCTCTCGCAGGATACAGAGGAGTCGACCCCGGACCTTAAGGGGCAAGTTCTTTTATAGGGTTTGGAAGCATAAAGCGGGAAAAGGTTGGCGCGGTCTTACATGATTGGCTAATTTAAAACATTTAAACAGTTACATTTTATGGCGCGAATTGCTATGGCGCGAAGCAATTATCAGGTTACACACACGCGTCCCCATCTGGACCCCCTCCACCCCGACCCTCCCAAACTTATCCCTCTGGAGCACTCTCTTGTTCTCAATTCTTCCCCGAACAGTTTAGGGTGGGTCTTCTATGAATAGAGTCAGTCAGGATCGATAAACGTTCCCCCTTATACCAGGAATCCTTAGGGTGTGGAGGTGCCTGTCTCTAAGGTATTAACTTTTAAATTTTTAATATAATTTACTTCCTTCAAAGTAAGACAGCGAGTGGACCCTGGGTCACATTTCCAGGCAGAGCCAGGCTGCCCTGGTGACAGCTCCCATCCACCCACAAAAAATTTCTACCCTAAACCTCACGGACCAGTTTCCTTGCTCTTCTCATTGCCGCATCACCTGAAACCCTCCCCTTAGAGACACACACAGTCCAGCGCGAGCTGCTCTCTCCACTGGGTGTAGCTGGGAGATGCACCCTCACCATAGCTTAGTGAAATCTCTTTCAGTGGATTTTTAGGTTACTTTCCTTTTAACTTCGGTGGAGATGAGGTGCCTGAGGGGACGAGGAGGTGGTTGATATTAGGGTAGGGGTCCTGGAGGGTACTCCAGCCCATGGGGAAAGTATGGCTGCCCAGTGCACACGGCAAGTGGAGGTGTGTCAGGAGACACAGCCCTGGAGAGGGAGGACACCAAAGACACCAGCAGGTTTGATGGCATCAGGGAGGGTTGCAGCTAATCAGGGACAGCCTCTGCTCATGGTCTTCATCTCCAGGGGCCCATGGGTTTGACGTCTGAGTCTCCTCCTGATTGACCATGTTTGGCTGGGACACAAGGTGTCAGTGTGTTTGCACCTGGAGAGGCAGCCTAGTCTGTGTGTGTGCAGGCTGATGGAGGCTGTGTGCAGCCTGGGTGCAGAGTGTGGTGAGCGAGGCCGGAGGGAGGCTGTGTGTGTCGGGTCCACTGCATAGACAGCTAAGCCTGTGAATAAGAAACCCACGTCATATGGTTCAGATGGAAAAACCTGATGAATCTTGGCGGGGGGAGGGGGCGCGTGGAAGAACGTATTCCAGGCAGAGGAAATAGAGTGAGCAAAAGCGTGGAGCTGCTAAATGGTCTGATGTGTCCATAAAACTCAGTGTGTGATGGCTCATCAGGGAGAGAGGGGCAGAGGGGAGAAGTGATTTGAAGAGAGGAGATCCAGGGGCCGGATGATGAAGGATTTTGTAAACTATGGAAAGGTGGGTAAACTCTATCCAGGAGGCAGGGAGCCATTGCAGGGTTCTCACCAAGGGTGGAAGTGGAGTCGGATTGTGTTTAGATGCCGGTGCTGGATGGAGGAGGGTGAACTGGAAGAGGCCAAGGTGGACTCCTGCCTAAAATCCACATAGACGTCAGCACAGAAACCCACATCCTGAGCACTCGTTGAGGAAGGAATCCCAGCGTGTCTTGGTTTCATGAGGATGGTCCAGACACAGGGAGTGTTGTTCCTGAGGGAGCTGAACCTGCTGGAAGGTCTGTGAAGAGGCCCCCATGTGCCCCAGACTCTACAGACAGAAGGACAGGACCCGGAGCCGCCGAGGACAGCCACAGGCCAGTGAGGGGCTGTGCCTTTCAGGGGGCCATGTCCTTTTTGATCCTCCTCACTCCCTGGTCGTCCAGATAAGATGCAACATCAAAACCTGAGTTTAGTGACCCCACGAACATCGTGGGCCTTTTGTTTCACTTTCTCAGAGCTTTTGTAGAGACCCACACCCTTGTGTAACAGAATTTGTTGTTGATTAGTAGGAAACAAGAAATTTAACACATCCACCCCAAAATTTTCTTGATCGTCAACCCCATTGCCGGAAAGGTCAGCAGAAAGCCAGCCCAACTGGGCCGTCTCCTGCCCCAAGACAGGCCTCAGACACATGAGAATTCATCTTATTTTAAAGCCCCGTCGGGAGGGGCTTCAATCCCTTTCAGTGACGCCTGAGGGTCCAACACGGAGAAATGAGGATTTTCAAATGGAAAACCAAATGCAGACTTAGGAAAAGAGAGCCTTTATTCAACACGATTACAGCAATAAGTAGAATGCCCCGACCACAAGATGGGTAAGTATCTCAAAGGTCAGGAGAAAGGACCTTCCTTTATAGGGAGGAGGACAGGAGGCTGGGGAGGAGGATGGGGAGAAGGAGGGGGAGGGAGCGGAGGAGCAGGTGTGATCAGACAGGTAACCAGGAGATGTCTCTCCTCGTGGTCAGCTGGTTCCAGAAGGTCTTCAAGGAAAGTTGTTCTGCTTTGTAATGCTTGTGCACCCTCAGTGGTGAGGCAAAGATCAGGGAGGAGAGCAGATTAACTAGAGTTTGGTTAAGTCAATTTAACAAGCATTTTCTTCTGATTGTTGAGTGGGGGAAAACAGTTCAGCTACTCGCTGATGGGAAAAGAGTAGGAATTTGGAGGGACTGTGTCTGGTTTGTCCTAGGTTATATACACATATAGTATGCAGATATATTTATATAGAGAATATGTATAATATACATTCTGTATAGTGTATACTATGTACACTACAGATTTTATAAATACACTAGAAAATGTCAAAGGGATTATAATAAAATCAATAAAAAGAAATTTTATATTCTGAAAGATATATGCCACATAATCCAATGAAATATACAATTTCAAAGAGAGTTTTCATATCGGGTCTCCCCAACCACAAGATCTGGGCTTGCACAGATGCTGGGATAGAACCTGTAGATGTTTCTGGAGAGGGTCCCTGGGTCACAATGACTCTCCCTCACCCCGTGATGGTCCAGTAGAACTTTAGCTCAACCTTATTTCAACAATCACAAAAAAAGCCATGTGCCCAACACACCACATGGGCAGGCATGGATTAGGGAGGGCGCATCAGCAGTACCCCTGCATCTACCCACCTACCTTTTGAATCAGCATAGTAATATACATCAAAGGGAGAGGCTGAGTGGTCGGATTTTCTGGTGTACTTGATGGTCATGATGTTGGAAGAAGAATGAAACGTGAGAACTAAACCTTCACAAATCTTCCCGTAGCTTTCAGATCCTGGAGGTCCATCTTGGATTTCCAAATACTCTTTATTACAGGTGAGGCTGTTGGGGCAGAGGGAAAGGCAGGCATCAGCCTTTGGAATCGTCCTCCCTCCAGCAGGCAGCCTCTCTCCACCAGGGACTGGACAGGATTGCACCAGTTTGCTCAGGAGAAGTGCCAGGCCTGGTGCACAAGGGAGGGAAAGTCATTCATTCTTCTGAAGAGAGGACAGTCACCCCAGGACCCTCCCACTTCCACAGGAGGCCTTCCCCTCACCTGAGCTGCAGGTGACCTCCAAACCTCCTGAGTTTGCCCTACCTACGGCTCTGGGATGCCCACACAGGAATTTTGAATCGGAGCCACTTGTCTTTCAGGCCTCCTGAGTGTAACGATTCAGCCAGCAAGTGGTATGTTCCTTGGTCAATGACAACTGTGTCATGCTGAGTGGCCCCAGACATGAGTGTATGATTCCACTCCTGGTTTTGCCCTCCACCTCCCTGGCAGATGGTGCCCAGCAACCCAAGCTTGGCCTCCATGACCAGCAGAAGTGAGAGGAGCATCCCATACACATGGAATTGTCACACTCCTGCTGACCTTCCTACATCTTTCCTCTACCCTTCAAGACCTGATTCCACACCCATCATCCTCACACAGTCACCAGTATGTTTCAGACACAGGAGAGAGGCCAGAGCCTCTCTGATTTAGAACAAGACAAGGAGGGGACATCCCACCAGGACACACACAGCACCCTTTATATTAGTTTGCTTTGGGCCAGTCTGAGTCCTTCCATGTTGCCAAGTATAGTCAGATCCAAAATCAATCTTTGAAGAGGACATAGAAATATTGAGGGGAAAATTTCAGAATAATCTATCCGTCTGATCCTTGGAACAAAGGATGGTGCAGAAAAATGACTGACTACTTCATCCCTGGGGCATGGTTTGGGTAGATGGTCCAAGCATTTTTTTGAGGCAGCCATCTCTAAGTTGTCCTTCATGCCATGGAGCACCTATGTAACCTAGTCGGAGTCCCAACCCTGTAGCAGGTCTGGAGGGGCAGGGGTTCTTAGTCACAAGCTTACATCATCTGTCTCAGCCACCATTGTGGGCTGTGTTTGGCTTTGTCTGGAATTGATGGCAATGTGGCTCCCATGTTAAAATCTGTGTAGAATGCTCAGAGATATTAATTCAGGTACTTATTGCTACATTGGAAATGCCTACTGTGGCCTTATCACTTCATTCACTCTTTCATTCACTCATTCTTTCATTCACCCATTCACTCTTTAGTTAAAGAAATATTCCTTGACCCTGAAGAGAGACTCCTATGCTAGTAGACACAAACAAACACATAGGCAAGAGTAATATGACTCTAAGTTCCATCTAGAGTTCTGCATAGGGCAATGGATGGGGAACCAATGAAAGAAAGATCTGTCCAGCTGTGAAGAGTCAGGAAAGGGGTCTTAGGTGTTATGGAAAAGTTTGTCCTCAAGCAAAATCAGGAAATACAAAATGAGCACCCTAAGCAGTGGGCAGGTGAGTCTGGAAGAGGTAGAAGGATGCATTCTAGGCAAAGGGGACAGTGTGAGCAAAGGCATGGAGCTGCTAAATGGTCTGGTGTGTCCAAAACTCAGTGTGTGATGGCTCAGCACAGAGAGGGGCAGAGGGGAGAAGTGGTTAGAAGGGAGGGGAGATCCAGCAGTCACCATGAAGGACTTTGAAAGCCATGCTAAGGAGAATGAACTTTATCCAGAAGACAGGGATCCATCAAAGTGTTTTCGGCAAGGAGTGAAATGCAGTCAGAACTGGATGGTGGATAGTGGAGGGTGAACTGGAAGAGGCCAAGATGGACTCCTTCACAAAAAACTACAACATCAGCAAAAACAACACATCCTGAGCACTCACTTGAGGGCAGGTATTACCAGAGCAACATGGAGACCTGGGTTCTCCTGGATGGTCCAGACACAAACAGTTTTTGGCCCAACATAGTTGGAGATCTTGCCCAAATGTTCTGTGAGGAGGCCGCCACAGTCACTATAGGCTACAATAGAAGAAAAGGATTCCAGGCCCCCAGAAGCAGCACCAGGCCCCTGAGGGGCTGTGCCATCCCCGGGCCCCACACTGTTGTTGACGGTCCTAACTTCACGGTCCCCGCAATCACAACCCAACGTCGATGATCCAAGTCTGATGAGCCTGCAAACAAGGTGGCTTTTATCTTTTACTCTTTTCAGAACTTGTTTAGGGACCTATAGTCATTACTAAAAATTAGTTTAAACGAGTGTAAAGAAGAAATTTAACACTTCTTCTGCACTTCTTCACCAAAAGATTCTTTATCATCAACAGCATCACCAGACGGAGAGCAGAAAGTCCACACAAACACCTCATTTCTGCCCCCTGAAGATCTCTTCCTAGTGCAGGCATGAGACGTGGCAAATAGACAATTCTCCTGCCCCAGGGAGGGCTGACCCCTCAGAGAAATGAGAACCCATTTCTCATCATCAAGACCTGTAAGGAGGGTTTACAGGATCTGCTCAGTGATGTTTTAGGCTCCAAATCTATAAATGAGGATAAAAACAGCACCTGCCTCAACAGTGTTTAGGATCAAATGTGTTCATGTTTGTAACGTGCTCAGCCAGTATCTGGACCTGGAAATCACTAGGTACATAAATCAGTCAATGAACCACCCACATGATGGGAAACATTCTTCCCTCTGCCCTGCATCCCTCGTGCTGCACTCTGTCCCCCTCCCTTCAAAGCTCTTGGTTGTGACACTGAAGACAGCGAAGCCTCAGCTCTCCAGACTCCAGCCCTTTGGAGGAGGCTCCATCCTCCTGTGACCCAGGCTCTGTAGAGAGGTGGCTCCCCTCCCTGTGCAGTGAGGCTGTGCAGACTGGAGGGAGGAGGCCCCCAGGGCCGTGGAGGAGCTGCAGTGGGGTGGGGAGGAGGAACAGGGAGGAGCCTTGAGGAGTCGGGGGAGAGGGGGGTTTAGGGATGGTTAGGACTGAAGCTACTGCTAGGTTCAGTAATTGCAGTTCTTTTGGTCAAGACCGTGTCCTGATACATGCATTTCCCAGAGAGCCATCGGGACTCCAACCCCACAGCCCATCTCTGTGTGAGGAGGGGAAAGGGGGACACAATACTGTCTGCATTTACCTTCTTTCCGTGCAGTAGAAACCAGTGTGGCTGAAAAGAAATCAAAACAGAAAAACAAATGAAAAGCTGGAAGTTACTGATGGGTCAGGGCTTGAGAATGGAAAATGCACACACTGTGAAGAGGAGCTGCCGCCAAGGGACGGTGCTGAGCATGAAGAGGAGACAGCGTCGCTGTCCTGGTCCCTGGGGACAGTCCTGGTCACACAGAGGGAAGGGCAGAAAGAAGGTCTAGCACTCAGCGTTCAAAGACTGCTCATTCAGTGGCTTTCTGCTTCTTCTCCAATTCTACTCACTTACTGTACAATGTTCCCACTCCAGAACCCAGTCAGAGCAGTCAGTCTGAGGAGGGTGACCTATGTGTCTCAGAATTTCCTGGTTTTAGCACTAAAAGTCCCTTCTCAAAAGAAACCTCTCGGTCCAGGCCAAACCAAACAGTTGGTCACCTTAATATAACCTGAACATTTCTAGCAAATTCTGTAATGAGACCAATGATCAATTTGATGTTGGAGTAAACCAACTGAAGAAAATTTTCAACTGAGGAGAAATGAACCATCTTAATTTGTGGAAGTTTCACTATATCAGGGACCTCAGTTCAGTGCTTGGATCCAATAGACCTTACTGCAACACATGGCCTCCCACAGGTGATGTGCACTGTGGCTCATCATTTAGATGGGACACAGTGGGCACAGCATAGCTGAGGAATCAGACGGCCCTGGGTCACTGTCCTGGGGTCGTGACAGCTGGGTGGCTTTGGACAAGCTATTTACTCTCCCCAAGCCTCAGTCCATTCATCTGTAAAATGAGAATCTTAGCAGCAACTACCTCGTAGGTTCAGGAGGATAATCCACACAGACCAAGCTTCAGGGTCCCATGCAGGGGGGCTCTCCATAAAGTTACCTGTCACTATCAACATCCCCAAACTAGATGATGTTTCTTTCTTCGGTGAATTAGAAATCAACAAATGCTCTAGAACCTATGTGACAATAAGCTCAACCAGGACACTGTGAGTCCATCTCCAGCTGCCTTCCTAGGCGCTGAGGCCATTGGTCTTTGGAAGAGCAAAGAAAAGTCTCCCCACACCCGGGGTGTCCATCAACTCTGCTTGGGAAGATAAAATCTTCCCTGCCAGGTTCACCTTCACCATGTCTGGGCTGAGCCTAGGGCTGGCCCTCAGTAGATTCCGGTGTAGCTTTGCTTAAGGCTGGAGGGAGACAAGGATGCAGGGAGGCCCACAGAACATGTGTCAAGATAGGGACACAGGAGCCCAGAGAATGTTTAAAAATCAACATGGCCTGAGCCCAGGCAGGGGCCATTCCCCTCTGTCCCTCCTCCTGCAGCCTAAGAGCAAGGTGAGGCATCTTGTTGGAGGAGAGAATATCACCCATGGGCTTCTTTGTTAGCAACACACAAACTGTGCAAAATCTCTAAGCTGAACAGGAAAGCAGAGAGAGGCCCAGGAGAAAGGGGCTCGTGGGCTGTGGGATACCTGTACCGAACAGCAAGGCCCAAGCGAAGGTACTGGACAGCCTCATCTGAGCAGGCCTGGCACCAGCCTCAGGAGTGAGGTTGGCTCTGCAGGCCTGGGGCTATATAGAGGCAGTTCCTGAAATCTGATCTCCGCCCCTCCCTCTGCAGCCAAGGCCAGCAGAGCTGCAGGAGCTGAGGGAGCTGCAGGAGCTGAGGGTGCCGAGGGAGCTGAGGGAGATGCAGGAGCTGAAAGTGCTGTTCAAGATGAGGGAGCTGCAGGATCCACTGGGTTCTAGAGAAGGAAGTATGTCTGCCTCTAATTACTATTTATCCTTCTCAGCCAATTTCCGTGTCCTTTCTCACCTAGAGAGAGAAATAATAGCCAGCTTCTCCATTTCCTCTCCTCTGTCTATGGTCTTGGATGAAGAGTGACAAGTTGGCCACAGGCCAACAGGACCTGCTGTTTGGGGAGCCCTCCTGCCTGGGATTAACTTATAGCATTTTCACTTCCAGTAACTTGCACAAGGCTCACAACACCTGATGGGGGAGACAGGCCAGGTGTCCTTGGACAGGTGAGGAACTGAGTTCACAAGAGACAAAGAGACTTGTCCAAAGTCACTGAGTGACCATGGCAGAACCAGGACGAGGTCTGACCTCCTGACTGCCCAGTCTCTCTAAGAGCCCTTTCTGTGTCACTCAGGGCAAAGGCACATGAACAGGCCCTCAGTCTGCTCCAGGTGTGAGTCAGTATTGGTGGAGCAGCTGCAGGGCAGATCAGCCTGTGCATGGGGATGTCCACATGGATGACATGTGTACACATGTCTGCATTTACTCTGTATTTATAATACCAAGACCGTGTGTCTCAGTCCCAGGGCAGTGTCACAGTTATAAGAACCCAGCGGAAGTCCCTGGACAACAGGCTGGCAGTATCTCAATAGGTTACACAAGAGTTACCATATGGCCCAGCAAGTCCACTAGGTATATACCCAAGGAAATGAAAACATAGCCACACAGGTACCGCTTCATGAATGTTCATAGCGGCATTACTCATAATAGTCAAAAAGTGGGAACAACCGAAATGTCCATGCACTGATGAATCTATAAATAAAACATGGTCTACCCATACAATGGAAGTCATTTGGCCATGAAAAGGAATCGTGGCCAAGTCGCCTACCAAGGAAGCTTACCGATTTACACACCAACCAGGAGAATGAGTGTCAATTTTCATGAAATTTGAACACCACTGCATTTGACCAAATCTTTCAACGTGCTTTGCTGATCAAATATGCTGGAAATAATACATAATTTTTATAAATGTGCATTTCTCCAATTTTCAGTGGGCTTGGACTTTTTTCATATGTTTCTAGTCCAACTGCAGCTCTTTCGTAAATGCCTGTTCATGTCTTTTGGCCAATTTTCTATTGCTATTGCTATTGCTATTGCTATTGCATTGCTCATCTTCGTCTCATGAATTGTAGAAACTTCCTGTACTTTCCAACCCATATCTTTCTTAACAGAGAGCCCTAATGGGTTCGCAATGTGAAGGAGCATTCTAACTCAATTAGAACACAGGGAAGCTGCTGTGAGCCATCTGGTGGCTCAGAGCTCTCCTAGCTGATGATGGAGGAGGAAGCAAAGCTGGGGAGACTACAATGCTAATTCCACTTTAGTGGTGAAGCCTGCTGGTTATTACCAATATAACACGCAATACTCCTCACCATTGTCCTTCCAATTAGAATCTCTCTTTGGTAATTTTTCCCCACATACCCTTTACAAGTGCCCTGCACACAAAATACTACCAGCCCCTTGATCTAGGGAGAGTTCAGAGGAGCTCTCCAACTGGATGTAAATGCCCGGATGGGGCAAATGTGGGAACCATGGAGAGAAGGCAGAACTTTATCTTATATCCCAGCCCAAGGATCCTGCCATGAGCTCCAAGGTGTCAGGCCCACTGCCCTCACCCAGCAGCAACCGAGCACCTAGGGAGAAAAAGAAGGCACAGTCCCTTTTCCAGAGGACACTCAGGAATCAAAGTCTTAGGAACCTAGCATCACAATGTCCTTGGAAGAAAACTGTAGGTTAACAGCAGATTTTGAGGATTTGCATTCTTCATATCTTTGTCCTCAAAGGTCACACTAGTTTCTGAGTGACCCTAAACAAACCTGTTTTTCTCCCCTTCGTATGTTCCTGCCTCATGGACTGCCACAATGCAGCTCTTTCTTCTCCTTCTCATGAGATTGAGTAGTTTTCTCCACCTTGTTCACAGACCCCCTGACTAACTGCCTTCCTCCTCATCAGAACTTTCCAGCTACTCTCTTTCTATACTGTCCCATGGTCAACTGTAATCTCCTTGCCAGGGCCCTGGCTTTTATTTCATAAGCAAGAGTTCAAGGGTCCTTTGAGAATTTTGTAAGTTGCCTCCCCAGCATGGATTCCTTCCTTGTTGACAGATAACCACAGTTTTATCCAGATTTCTATTCCTACCCTGTGTGTCCCATGGACCTTGGGAGAAGCTGACCCCAAACCAGATCTGAGAAGTGGCCTCAGTGGTGGAGGAGGTGGCATGAATGTCACAAGGAGGTTTGCCCTCCTTGTTGGTGACTGGTGCAGGAATGAGCCTGTGACCCAAATGGGCCAGTGAAATCAAAGGAAAGTTCTGGCCACAAAGGGAGGTGGGAGATGGCTAGTCTCAACATGCTACCACTGAGAGTAAGGCCAACTCACAAGGGAGGCAGAGCAAGAGAAACCTTTGCAGGTCCCCTGGACAAAATGTCATCTTCAGCTTCTCAGAGGACTTAGGTGTATGCATATCTGCTACTTCTGTTTAGTGCTTCATCAAAATCTCCAAAAGCCAGTCAAAGCTGTCTGAAAATACAACCCCAAAAATATCAAGAATAATTAGAGGGAAATATGCAAAATATAATACTTGAAAAACACCCATCCTGATAGTTTACATAAAATGACTCTTACTGATTTAAACTGTATTAACTGGACTTTCCAAAACCAAATCATGAAATTGGTGACCCCCCCATGGAACCCATGATTACACACTGCTGCCTTCAGCTACAATTTCATATTCATACTGCAACAAAGAACCATGATACCATCCTGAGTAATTTTCCTTCATCTTTGGTACAAACACAAATTTTTCAGATGAAACAGATCCAGAAAGTGCAAAGGACTTCATTTGCAGTGAAAACATCCAAATTCCTATATGGATTAATTGAGGCTCTTTTTCTTTTGTATTCTGTGATAATGGCCACCAGGGAGATCTAGCACAAAAGATTTAAAATCCATAAAAATACCCTAATGCATCATTGAATTTCCCTCCATTCCCATTAGACCCACTACTCACCATTGGGTAAGCCCTCTTCCTGGTGAGTAGTATTGCTTTTAGCATTTAGGCAGCCATGATGTGAAATTCTTTCAATCTCAGCTTTTGACAATTCACCTCATCTCCCATGTCAGAGGTTGTTTCAGCCATTTTGAAAATGAGGGTATAAGATATTCTTTCCTGCTTAGAGGAGAGGTTTATTAATTTAAATCTGAAACACATTCAAAGAGGAGGACTACCGCTTTTAAAGATTTATAAGGCATTCTTGGTATCAAAATCATGGTGGTATTCAAGGGCTTGTAATGTGAGGGGAAAAAATGCTCGCTAATTATATTTTCATCTCAATGAGTACCAGGTTCATAACCATCAAAAGATAAACATTAAAACCCTAGAAAGGATTCCTCCAATAGCTGAAGGAAGAAAGGAAACATAAACCTGTTTTCCACGTTGCCCCTTCACCCCAGCCGTCTGTGCACACACAAGTGTCTGGCTAAAGATTTCTTATTACAATTCTCAAGGTTTGCACAACTCAAGACTATATTCCAACTGAACAACTTATTTGTTTAAAGAAAATTTTCTTAAATAAGTCTTCCTTAAAAAATTTATTTTGGGTACATGTGAAACATTTCAAAATCACATCCAGGAGTAGAATATAATGTAACACTTGTGTACCCACCATACAGGTTTACCAAGTCTTCACATAATGACATATTTGCTTCAGAGCTTACAAATTCAAGTAGCGCTCCCTGCACACCCCTCCCAAGAGCTGTCCTATATTACAAATTCAGTTTTTATTATGCCTATGCAAGTTTCCAAAAGTTTACTAGATATTGATGCTTTCATATACTTTATAGAGTATTGTGTCACTGGTTTCAAAGTTTATGGAATGGTTTCACCCTGCAAATTGTTGGAGATTTTTTGCTCAATATTATTTGTTTTGATATTTATCCATGTTGATAGAAATAGCTCTAGGTCATTCATTTTAACAACCATAAAGTGTTTCACTGCACGAAAAGTCTAAAATTTATTTATCCGTTTTCCTGTGATGGACATTTATATTGTCACTGATAATTTGTGAGTTGTGTAGGGTAAGATACTAATTTTGTTTAGCTCCATGTGGATAGCCAATTGTTTCCCTGCCATTGATCTACTTCTCTCTCCTTGTGCCAGTAACATGACAGGCTAATGAGCACAGCTTTATAACACTCTTTAATGGGTGGTAAGTGCACTTTCTCTTCTCTCTGTGTCATTTTTGTTCCTTTCCAAAATTGTCCTGACTATTCTTGACCCTTTGTTCTTCCATATGAGGTTTAGGTTATGTCATCAAAGTTCAGGAAATTTTA